ACATCCTCTGGTCTAGCCAGACTTGCAAGGTAGAATTCATGTCATGATAGTGGGAGTGGGGAGGAAACATTTAGGAACTAGAGGAAAGTTGTATTTTTCATCGTTGCTACATTGCACCCTGACTGGCTCGTCTCCCCGAGACCCCTCTGCAAGGGCATGTCCAGTGGCCTACTCATGGGCTTTGGGTCATGGAGACACAAAGTCCATAAAGCTCTTTCTTGGACTCATATGTGTGTTTATGAATTTGTTTCTCTGGTCCACAAGGATTTCATCTTCCTTGGACCGACAGTCAACACCCACAGAAGCTGTAGCCACGGAATCAAACAAGTCTTGCATGGGAGAAATCAGCTGCAAAGGACCTCTTAAAAGTTAAAAAGCAAAGATGTCATTTTCAGAAATAAATTTTCTCTCACTGCCATCTAGTCAATGCTGACTCAACGTGGCCCCCTGTGGGTTTCTGAGAATCTGTTTATGGAAATAGAAAGCCCTTTCTCCCAGAAAAAGGAGAGTTTTTCTCCTGCTGGTGGTTTCAAACAGCCGATCATGCGGATCGCAGCCCAGTACATAACCTCTACACCTCCAGGGCTCAAAATAAAATCATTTTGACCCAATTCATAGTACTCAATTGCCTCATAGGAATGGCAAAGCTGGCAACAAACAAGGAGCCCTGAGCAAGAATCGACCCACTTGCATCATGGAGCCGTGAAGAAGATTGAGCGGCCGCCAGAAGAATGCGCAATTCTGTCCTGGAGGAAGTACAACCAGAAATGAGGATCCCAGACTTCATCTCATGCATTTGGGGCTTGTCGTTGAGAGAGACCAGACCTTAGAGAAGGACTTGGTAGCACGTCAGTAAAAGAGAAAGACCTTCCACAAGATGGGTTGACAACGTGGCTGCAGCAGTGACTCGAGTGTAGTAATAAGTTTGAGGGTGGCGTCGATCTGTTGTGGATGGGCGCCTACGGTTTGACAGGACTTGAGCGCCCCAGAGAACAACACAATCTAGGTGGAAGCAGGTCACCTTATCTCTCTCCCCGAGGAGGTGGTGGATTCTATCTGCCCATCTTTCTGTTAGCAGTCCAGTGCTTAGCCACGGTGCCGCTCTGTCTCCTACTTCGTAGCTAAAGTCTGCATGTATGCTTCAGCAAGCAGCCGGCGGGCACCCATTCTGCCTCAGCCTTTTCCCTTCTATCCCTTTGACTTGCAATGGAAACATACCACCACCAGGTGGAGCTAAAACACAGATTCTATGCCAGGCCACCAACCCAAACTCCGAACTCTGCCCCTGCGTGGAGACAGACGCAGAGTACTCCTTTAGGACAGGGTAGAGCCTGCCCCTATGCGTTTCCCCGT